AAGTTTTGTCTAATTATTTTTAATGATCAGTGAGGAATGGAATACAAGTCAGATGGGGTTGATGAACGCCAGCAAAACATTGGAGAATTTCATTGAATGTGCAGATCAGTTTTCCCACTTATGACTCTACACATATACTGTAAGCGTCTTTCAACTTGCAATGTTGCGGAGGTTGAATCAGATTTGCGGCAGGAAAGGCCCATCCTTGAACAGCTGTGTCAGTGGTAGTTAGTTACTTGACTTCGAGGTTTCAAAATCAAATTAGAAGGGCTGACTATATAGGCACTTGCTGGAAAGGTTTGTACGAAATCACATTTTAGTAAATCTTTATTGGTGCTTTTCGCATATTCATTAATGCAGGAAATGCGAAGAATCATGTCCGTGTTGCTTGGAATCTGTCAAGATACGAGAGCATTCACGGCCGAGAAAATCGGATTTTAAATTTTCTAAAATTGTGTAGTCAGCGATTCTTGAAAATGTATTGTCGCACACATCTCTCTGATGCGTCGATTTGCCGAACAGTGTGCGGTGCCGTTACCGTGTCGATCATGTATGCTAAGTGTGAATGGCCAAGTCCGGGAAGATTGCTTCATGATGGCCTGTCTAAAATTTATTTCCATTCTCGCTCATAATTCCTGCAAAGATTTCGATGAGAATAAGAAATTACAAACGGTTCTTCTGGTGAAAAACTTTCTCTCCGGCTCGAAGAGTGGTGTACAGCAGCATCTGAATTTATTCTTTTCATGCACGGGATAGCGGTTAATATACAGTGAACAGTACGCACTATATTGTATCAGTGCATGTATAACCCAAATTTAACAATAGTACGGTTATATATTGGAATTTATTTTAAAAATGCATCGTTAGAAATTCTAAAATAATAATTTAAATCTTTTGTGTAATACAGTATTGTATAATATTGTGGAGACAAAATTAGTAGTGACGATGGATCGGAAAATTTTGTCGACAAGGTTCGGTTCTTTACGATTTGAAATCTTTTTTTTAGATTTTCTCGCACATGAAATCGGCCAAAAGTCCGCGATGGCAATCGAATGTCTTTCAACCTGCTCAATTCGAAAATGTTTCTAGATTATTATTGAATTTTGGAGTTGCGTTAATACGAGGTGTAAATAGTTAGTCGCGGAAGTAGTAGTCCTTATGTAACAACTCTAGTCCTTATAGTAAACTCGTTCCACTATTCTTCATAAAGGTTTAAAGCTCTCGATCCACTTGTTATTTAAATGGGTGAACGATATTTCCCAAAAGCATGGTAAAATGTTGTATTTTCTGTGACAAATATTTTGAGATGCTAGAAAAACACACGAAAATGTACAACATGCAGGGCTTCATAATCCTCTGTATTATCGTGAATCCCTGCAGGAACGCTGTCTGAAAATTTGACCAATACGCATGAATTTTCAACCCCCATACGTTTTTCGTGATGAATACGGTATAGTATTTTCACTCGGCAAACTGTCTTTGCTGATGTGTTGACACTCATTACCTTCAATTATGCATGTCGGAATAATCTTTCGGTTTCGGAAACGGTTGTATCGCTTCTGCAGAAGGTGGGAACAAGTGATGTCAATGTATTGATTGCTCATTATTCAAGAATCAAGCTGATCAATTCGTTTCATCGCCAAAATAGTGCCTGTGTCTGAACGTCATTCAGCAGACGACCTGACTGTGCTACAACTCCTATAAGTGATCGCTATAAATGCATGAAGTGTATAATTCATATATACTTACAAAACAGTTTGTGCAGTGATCCGATAGATGTTTTTATTTTCAAATCCAAGCCACTGCATTAATTTTCGTCGGCGACTGAAATATGTGTTGGGGCATGATGAGTTATGTTAAGATCATGCTATGGTATTTATCCCATGCACCTGCGAATTTCTCCGAAAACGTGAAACAGACGATTCTCATCGCGTCGAAGTTCACATCATCAGCAATATAAACTTCGTCGAAATCAAAATGACTTCTGGTTGTGCTAAAAGACTAGTGGTGTCCTTTGCCGATCTATTCATGGAGCTGCTGGGGAAAAGACTTTGTTTCTTGTCCGCCGAAGGAGCAATATATGAAGGACTCTTGGTGGATGTCAATGCTCAACTATGCGTCATCACTTTGAATTCAGGTGATTGTTTCATAAGTTGTATTCAACTTCATATTCTCTTTCTTTGGATAAATTTATTTTCACTGTTCCTATTATGCGTATATAGTGACGCAGTCTGTCCTCAAACCCGGGTACGAGTACGAGAAGCAAATCCGAGGGCTTTTCGAAGGAACAAGTTCTCCTGAATCGGACATCGAAGATTCCTGCTTCGTCGGAAGCATCGATGAGGCGTGCTTCGTTGAAAACGTGTTCAAACTCAGAGCCATGTTCGATGTTGAACAAATAGCTTTCATCTTGGACAAAGAGTCCGACTCTCTGCCTCCTGAAATGCTGCCCAGGCTTTGGCACAGATTGCGCAAGAAAAATACGAATCCTGTGAGTTTCCATCTTTTTTTAGTGTTGCACTTTTGATGGGTTTGAAGGAAAAATTGCAGTTGAAGCTGGAAACCTTCCGAAGTCTTTTATGTTTTTTTTTCAAGTCCCTGTCTGAATTCCCTTGCAAACAATTCATTAAAAACCTCCTTAGCTTGAAGGCTCTCCCCGTATTTATAGCTCGATTTTTCTGGCGGTGATTATTTTATAGACTCAGGACAGAACAATGAAGCGATGAAATTTTAACTTAATGCATTTTTAAAAGAAGTGAAAGACTAATTGGGCTAATGAACCATCGACTCTCTGCAGTCGTAGGACACTTGAGTAAATTCTTCGTTAAACTCCGGATCTTATAGAACTTTAATTTTGAAAGAACATTAAACAGAAAGAAAGAGGTTCTTTTTATGAACAAAGGGATTGAATTTAAAAAGGCCGATCCCTTAATTGAAGTTGGACTTGATAAGGTTCAGCTGCTGCAATTCCGTCCATCGACTTTTTTTTTATCATTGTGACAATTCTAGAAAATTCACCGCACAGCACAACAAATTGACTCTTTTGCTTATTTGTCCGCCTTAATCCTCACCATCAGCAGAAGACTTTGAATTTTGCGGGTGATTTTTCTTCTTGCCTTTGCCGAATAGAGATGAGCGATTACTGTATCGGAAAACCATTTTATTACTGCTTTAAGCTATGTCGAAAAATGTTGCTCGAAATTAAATATTACTGTACTTCATGTATACGAAGTTCGGCATTTTGCTTGATACTGTTGTGACTTGTCCGTATGGATTTAAAAATCTCTGCATACTTCCAGGGAAAGTCGAAATTTTTGGCGATAAGATTTTACTTTTGTCCTGTTTCCTTTTCACAGGCTCACTGGAAGGAAATACTATTCGAGTCGGTTTCCATTACTCAGTCGCCATCATCAGCTGATGAAAATAATAACACAGCCTGGAGAGTGAGATTCAGACACGTATCTATTGACGTCAGCATCCTGTGAACTCATTTAAGAAGCAATTTGAGGCCTAGAATATCTTGAAATTAAAACTTTCTTGTAATTTGTCTTTCTTTCTCCAAGAAAAATACTTGTTTCCCTAACTTAAATTTTTTGGCCGATCCCTTAATTGAAGTTGGACTTGATAAGGTTCATCTGCTGCAATTCCGTGCATCGACTTTTTTATCATTGTGACAATTTTAGAAAATTCACCGCACAGCACAACAAATTGACTCTTTTGCTGATTTGTCCGCCTTAATCCTCACCATCAGCAGAAGACTTTGAATTTTGCGGGTGATTTTTCTTCTTGCCTTTGCCGAATAGATATGAGCGATTACTGTATCGGAAAACCATTTTATTACTGCTTTAAGCTATATGTCGAAAAATGTTGCTCGAAATTAAATATTACTGTACTTCATGTATACGAAGTTCGGCATTTTGCTTGATACTGTTGTGACTTGTCCGTATGGATTTAAAAATCTCCGCATACTTCCAGGGAAAGTCGACTTTTTTGACGCTAAGATTTTATTTTTGCAGACAAAGGAAAAGTGTCCGAGTGACCTTCCTTTATGATAAGCTCAGCCAAAGGTAATGAGTCAGCGGTAGTAGTCGACTACTTTTATTATTGTGTCGGACCTCTCACTCTAAGTCTGTGCATAGATATCCTCATGCTCCTGCCAAAGGCTATTATTGGTATGATGTTCGCTGAGATTTAGAAAGACAAATGCATTTTGCATCTCGGTCATTTTTAAAAACTTGCATTCCTTTTCACTGTTTTTTTTTTTTTTTTTGCAGTTGGGGTCAAAGCGAAAGTTTTGGAAGATCTGTTGTTATTAGTGGCCATCATGGAAATAAGCGAGCATCATCAGATGCTGATGATGACGGGGCTCTGCTGGGATGCACTCCTCTGCACAAGGCTCTGGCAGGTGCACCTTCTTTGGCCACCTACAACCGGTCCGCAATGCCTCATGGTTTCCTCGAGTAGTAAAGGAACCGACTTTTCCCAAGCAATATAATGAGTTCACGCTGAAAACCATTGATAAAACACGTACTTACTTTCCACACGAGTATGCTAGGATAACACGTTTCCGCACAGACTTTGGTACGGACTTCGAGCTCTCTGTCAGTTTGGACCTTTTCCTCCTCCTTCTTCCTACATTACTGATGCTGGAGGCTTCTCTTCTTTTTTTCTCGTAATTTTCGCGTAGGATGGAAGGACGCGAGAGCCGTACAAGTTAGGTCATACCAGTTTCCCCCGCGGCATTTGCGCGGCCTCGACTGTCTATAGGAGATAGTTTCGAATTGTCATTTCTTATACAACTTCTCTGAAAGGTAAAGTTTTAGCAAATGATTTTTGTCCATGACAGAAATCCTTTGTCATGGACAAAGCCGCCTCCAGGATAATGTAGAGGAAAAGGTTCGAATTAACTGCTGGGAGCTCATAAGGAGGTCCGCGCGGAAGCGTGAAACTCCTCATACTGTACTTGATTTCCGGAATTGTTTTGTCATGGACAAAGCCGCCTCCAGGATAATGTAGAGGAAAAGGTTCGAATTAACTGCTGGGAGCTCATAAGGAGGTCCGCGCGGAAGCGTGAAACTCCTCATACTGTACTTGATTTCCGGAATTGGCCGTATATTCTGTATTTACTATGTGTGCACAACAGGTTGGCTTCGGCTTGTGGCACCAGTTTCAGTCATTGAGGCCATCAACATCGGTGCTGCGCAGTTTGACAAGACGTTTGCTTTCATGGACTCTGGGCTGTTTTCTTTGGAGTTCCCGGACAGCGAGAGAAATAGTTCATGCGTGATGGGATTGCGGTTCCAGGTGCACCGTGGAAGCACTAGTGCAATTATTAATAGTGCTGGAACCCAGCAGCAGCAGCAAATGCTGCCTGTGAATACCCCTTACGAGAATAATAGGTGAATTTTTCTGTCGCGTGTTTCTCAAGGATCTTTTACAAGTACTGTATGCATTTATACCGTATTTAATGCAGAGTATCACGCGCCCTCGTGTAAGACAAATCACGCACCTGAGTTTCGTAGTCAAAAACTTCGATAAAATTCTATCCCGGGAGTGAGATTTGCATTCTATTTTAGTGTCTCTAAAACTGCGATATTAAACAAATAAAAATACTATGAGGCGATTTTTAGACATGAAGTGAACCTGAATTCAACTAATTTTCCATTGTTTCCATTACAATAAGTTTTTTCTGTTACAATTGGTCGAAGTTTTTCCATTAAAATCCAATTTAATCTACATTTAAACTTGTAAAACTATTTGAAAGATGTATACCCGCCTACGAAGGCACAGCACCCCCTTTTTTCCTTCTCAATTCTGAGAAAAAAGGTTCGTGTGTTACTCAAGTACATTTTACGACATACAGCAGTTGAGGAATGGTTCAAACATTTTGTTAAAAACTGATGATCTGGATTTTTCAGATTGAAGAGAATTTTTCGATAGAGGAAAATTGAAGAGATATAATTCTGATCAATGTCATATAAGCTTGGATATTCTGTTGATTACATTTTTTTTTTCAGATCGGATTTGACCTCGAACGATGGCTTCCGTGACTACGGCCAACTACCAATTGCTGCTGCTGAAGAACCATCAGTCCCTGTTGTTATTGGAAGAGGAATGGTTTCCGATAATAACGATGAGAAAATCAAATCCGACGACAGGAATATCGAACTGAAGTTGGCGGAAGTTCAATGGGTCCTGCAAGCCCGTAACAAGCAAGGCGATCCCGTGGCATCTGTCACTATGAGTCTCGAGCCACCGCCGGCGGCTGCGAACCAAATATCGATTCAAATGTCAAGGTCGACTTTGGACACTGCTGCTGTAATGGATGGTAATTTTATTTCGCGGAATTTTATTTTTCGAAAGCTTCGTGGGTTTATTATTGCAGGGATTTTCGTAGATGGGTTTGCAGCGAACAGCGTCCCAATCGGCTACATCAGCAACTGCGACAGGTTCGAAAAGTACGTTGTATGCTTTTATATGCGTCGTTCAATTTTTTTTTTTTCAAGACGCGCCTTTTCCATTTTTAGAACTCGTCATTATCAAAGGCGAGAATAGGGCTTTGCGAAATTGATAAAAGACGACGTCCTGCTCCTGCGTCATATAAAACTGTCGTGAAATTCAATCCTGATGCGTTTTTTAGTGACGGAAAACTAAATTTATTTTTCAATGAAATCCAAAATTATGAAAAGCGTGTTTCGAGATTTTATTTGGAAGGAATAATGTTACATTTAGTTGTTGTACCCAGCAGCAGCACCATGACGTTTCAAGAATTGGAAGCAGTGACGAGTTGCAGCAGTCTTTTTGAAGCAATGAGAAACTACCCCAGATGTCAGCAGTGTGACTCGTCGTGCTGTCACCCAAGTGCTGAAGACACAGCAATCATTCGAAGAAGATCGTCCGCGATGGACATGAATGCTGCTGGTGCTGTTCATCATCATCAGATGGTTTCTGGAATGCGAAGAACGGCTGCTGTTGTGCAAAAAGGACAGTGGGTGCTGACCCAGGATAGACTTTACAGGAGCCAGAGAAATGTTACGGGGGCTGAGTTGCCTGATCTGATCGCTTCTTGGACCCTCGGTGAGAATAACTACAATTTTCGTGTTCATATACAGTATATGCCTTTTTCTTGTGCCTCAAAAATTAAAATCGTGTGTTCCGCGAATTTAGAAAATGCGCCTTCATCCCATTTATTTTCTTTAGATTACATTAAACAGGAGTCTGTGCGTAAATTAAAGTTAAGCTCCAGATGCTCTTTTAATCTGAAAAATGTATTTTCAAATCAATTCTAGCTGAATTTTCTTCAGAAGACTTATTCTATGTGTTGGTTAATATTAATTAGAGAATCGAAGGCGTGTGTGCGAGAGTGATCGATTTAATGCAGATTTTTTGCGCTTCTTATTATACGTGATTCAGTATTTCTTTGTCGATTTTGAAGTCACTGTGTGTATATTTTTTTAAATGGTTGCTTTATAGATGATATGATTGGAGAGCCGAATCGAAGTAACTCGAAGGAACTCAGTGTCATTTCTGATGCTTTGCAAACTCCCAACATTCCGGCAGAATCATCATCGTCATCGCTTGCTGCGTTGCAGAACGATCAAAAATTTGGCAGCAGATTATTTTCTGCGGTTGTTGGGCCAGCAGATCTCAGCAGCAGTAGAGGGCGCTAGTAGTTTGTGGAAATTCTGGAAATGGTTCCTGTGTTGCTGAGTTTTGCTTGAAATTGTGAGTTTGACATAGTACTATATTGTATACAAGTATGTATATGGCTTTGTTTCCCTGGATTGACTTGAAATCATTTGCTCATGTGAAACTTCAGCATTGATGTTCATGATATCCCAAAATTATTAATTTGGCAAATAGTTGAAATTGTAAACCTATGAAGCCATTTTCTCATTATCACACTTTGATGCTCAATATAAATGTATATCCCTTAATTGATCCTAGGGATGATTCCTTTTGAATAATTTTGAAATTTGGGCAGACTTTGAGTGACTCATGTCTTGATTACTGATGTACTTGGGACATGGGAAGTGATAACAATCTGTTTTCTAAATTCAATCCCTCAAAGTTATAGCACATCATAAAAAAAACTACAACATTTAGTACAATCAATGAACATTTTGGGCGTTGGTGAACTGTGTTTCTAAACTTTCACTTGCTACACTGCAGAATAATAAATCAAATAATTGTTGGCTGTTGCCAGCAGCAGGAAGTTTGCATTTTTCTCGTGCAGAAAAATAAAAGGTTTCTAAAATTCTAAAAATATTTACCAGCAACTAAAAAAATGATTTAAGCCAATCCAATAGTTGGATCATCAGAAGCTGCTCAAACTTTAGTCAGCCATGGTAAATATACATTTTTCATTGATGCTCAGTAATTTTTCCAATGAATTTCTCTGATAGAATTTTTTTTTTTTTGTTGTTGAAGATTTTGAAAACTCGTCTATACTTGAGCATTTCAATAAAGCACATTGCACTGTTTTTTTCTGCACCAATGAAAGGGAGAAAGTTTTAAATTGAGTGTTCTTAACGTTTGTGAGAATTATATTGGATGGAAATGATCGCTGTTTCATGCAGCAGATATTTTTACTAAATAAACCAAAAAGTCTTGCGACTTATTCAACCCCGCCCAGCATAAGTAACATAGTTAACTTTGACAGTTGGTCGCCTGGTCCGGGTGTAATACTGTCTATCCCAGAAGAAACGTCCTGGTCCTCCAAGGGCTTGTCTCTTGTTGCGAAATGCTTTCCATTTCTCATCTGGGGAAAGCTCTTCGGATTCTTCTGATGATGAGGACTGAAATTGTTTAGGTGCATTATGTATTAGCAGATGACGATGGAGGGATGAACATGTTTGGTAAATTTTCCACTCACGGTTTCTTTAGGCTCAGCATCACGGATGATGATCGGTTGCTTTTGCGCAGTCTGATTATGCACATTGATTAGCTTATCATCGTCGTTGTCAGCATTTGCAGAAGGGATTTGCGTCAGGAAGGCCGATGCACACGCGATGATGAGGAGGAACAGGATTTTCATGTTCATCATACTGTATCTGGAAAATGCAACAGCGTTTCTTTATAACCGTTGATTTTCCCTCGAAAAAAAAAGTTAAATAAATTGGGATTTAAATAAAAATAATTGCTTTCGAGTTGAGCAGTTTTTAAAAAATTCAGTTCGTGAGATTTCTCGAGACAGCAGCGAACGTTTTCCTCGTTTTTTTGTGCCAATTTTCCGATTTTGATTTTCAATTTTTTCCATTGCTGATTTTTCCTGCTTGTTCGCTGCCAAAAAATATGTTCACTTCTTTTCGTTTTTTTGTTATTGGAGACGCTCTACTCGGCATTTTCACTTTTGGCAGAATACCCTGATCAAGGTTGGCATTGCGATGCCAGATTATTTATTGTGAGAAGATTTTCCTAATTTTTTTCGAATCAAAATTATGATGGGCTATATACTGTGAGTTGTCACCGAGGTTTTCAGCTTTATATTCATGGGAACTTGTTTTATGAAGAAAAAAAGAAAACAATAGCTTTGTTATTCAACTGCTGATGAAAGGAAACAAGGGATTATATGCGGTGAATCAAATGCTGTGATTTCACGAGTTCCTGTCATAATGACAATCATGGAAGAACTTGCGAACGAACCGAATGCGACATTCTCTTTGTGCGTGTCCATTTTCACTTCGTGGTGGAAATTCTCATCTTTTTTACTTGCAGCAAATCGCGAAAAATGTTCATCCTTTCATCCTTAGAAAGACATCTAAATTCTATTTATAATGCATTTGAGAAGAAGAGGAGGCCATCGAAATTCCGGGACTTGATGCAAAGAAATAATTTTTTGTAGTATTGAGAGATTTTTGACGATACTGAATCAATTTAATGCTGATTGATACGCCTTATTAAATGTACTCGTATGTTGAATTTGTTCAACATTAATTTCCTTTTTTAATAAACTCTTCTTCAGCATCAAAATTTGCTTCGTCCAATTTTTGTGGTACTTACAACTACTGTATATATTTGAAATATTTTCTTTGTGAGTTTCCGAAAATCTTCATCAGCAGTTTTTCTCCTGTCTTTCGGGGCTGATACCGCTAAAAAAAAAATACAGTTCCTGAAAATAATCATAGATAATCGATCATTAAAACTCAGTAAGTCAGCCTTGCATATTCAAATTCAAGCTTTGTTCAATGCTCAGTATAATTAGGTCCAATAATTTATGAATGACAAAAACAAACTCTACTGATAGAACCCAATTAATGTTCGTCTTCGACTACGTTAAGAATTCATGCGCGCATACGAAACCGCATTTCTATTTCATTTTACAATTTCAATTCTATGACAAAGATGTGATGTCAAATTCTGACGGTATATTATGTCATAGGCCAAGTTTCGCACAGGATAAAATTTAGAAGATCTTATAAAGAATAACAAACGACGACGTGGCACCCGGAAAATAATTTTTTGCTTCCTTCACGACATCCCACAATCATCAAGTACATATTCTTCTCTTCAAAGAGACAAATGTTTTAGGATACGGGTTTTTTTTTTTTGTTATTCGTGAAGATGTGAATGATGTAACTCGGACAATTAGAGGAATGTGACTTCAGAGCAAAACCGGTGCCAATCATCAAGCTGGCGTGATTTTGCTTATTTGCCCATTGGCCAAAAATTACTTGTTTAATTTCTATTTTTTCTTTCGTGGATGATGGGCTGGCATCAGTTGGCTTAATTTTTGAATGTGGAAATGATTGTTCCATATTATAGTTTTTACTCATTTATTATATTTTTTTTTTCTTCAAGGAAGCAAGATGAGCTGCAGCCGTGATCAAGTTCGCCTATAATCAAATATATATGCCGGAAGAAAGGGAATGTGGCTGGGATGAGAAACGCAGGAATAATGGCAAATCGAATCGAAGAGCACCTGCTGTGTGCGTGTGTAACAAACGATGAGAACCTCGCTGCGGATGTATTGAAAATTATATTAAAACAAACATATTCGCGTCAAAGAATGGAATAAGAATTTATTTAAATGTGACAGCAGCGGATATATTTTCGTATATTATGTTGCAATGGATCAGAACATAATAATGCTGTATAATCTTCCGCGGTGCTGCATGCTGCTGGCCAACTCAGTCCGATTTTCTTATTGTTCTTCCATTATGTGCGAGCATATCTAAGGGTGTATGGTTTAGTCCGGATCCATGGCCGTCTGTGTCGCCATTTCAAGTCCCTGAAATGTCGGCCAGCAAATGTCCCTTTATCCACGTCGGCGTGTCTCTTGTTCCTCTGAATCACTTCCCATGCTTCATCGACGGAGGGTTCTTCGGGTTCTGTCGAAATCTATATTCAAGATGATAAAATTCCGAATTATCATAATGACGAACCATAAATATGCAATTTGAATGAGGAAAAATCAATATAGACCTGAACTGCAGTCTGCTGTGCGGAAGGGTTACGAGAATCGATTGGTTCAGCTGCAGCAGAAAGAATTTGCAGAGAAGACGCGCTTCCAGCAGCAATGATCACCAGCAATAAGGAAAGTAATCTCATGTCCATCTGGTGGGAAAATTGAACTGCAAGTTTCTATATTGTCTCTTTTCACGGAAAGCAAATGCAGTAAAATTTCACAGTAATGCTCTACATATATACAAATGTATGGATTATGTAGTATCCTTTATATTGACATAAATGTCCACCAATAATAGGAGCAATAACATTCTGTTTTATTTTGCAAATGCTGTTCTCCGCCTTATTCCTATGGACGGGAAGTAGAAGGTGTGTCGGACAGGGCCGGGTTGATGATGGTCGTCGTCAGCATTTCGTGTCTTGGTCGCTGATCTTCGAAATCGTATTGTGGCACTTGCATCCGCTGATGATGAATCGTCAACACCTTTTTCTTGCACATTTTCAATTTCCGAAGCTTTGCCAACTGTTGTCGTGTGTTCATTTTCGCTTCTTATTGCTATTGATAATGGAGACACTGTTCGGGTTATTTCAGCACTGCTGGCCCAACATGTGTTGACCAAGAAGACCACTGATGCAATGAGGGTCACGTTAATCAAGGTGAACTGAAGTGCGTTCTTCATTTTCAACCGGATTATTTTCGATGCGATGGGATGCGGAAACGATGAAATACTGAGCTTTGTACGTATATATGTACAACAGAAGGCGCTTCGTGAGGGCCGATGATGGCTTTAAAAAATAATTGAAAAGAAAATGCAATCGTGCTTAAGTAATCTAACAAAGGGTTAAAATCATGGCGCGGTTTCGCGAATTTTCGCGTAGTATGCATTGACAGAATAAGCTAACTTTTTTTTTTCAATACTCATGCTGTGATTTCAACATGGTCGTCATGTAGGAAAGAAATATTCACCTTTTGTTATTCCAGTTCTTTGATTTCTATCGAGGTGAAATTTTGTTTTCATGAAGTTTCAAAGGACCGAAAAAATTACAACCAACGAACTCCCGCTGTTCCATCGCATTATAGTCCTTATTATATAGAAAAATAATTGTTGATACTGTGATAAGTGAATTATTCTGCTGTATTATATTTATGTTATTGGTGATGATAATTCAATCTTCATTGGACACCCGCAAGAAAGGGAATTGAATGATGCGTCGACAGAAGAAACCTTGCTCTTTCTCGAAGTTTCTCACAGACATTGGTGAAAGACCAGGAAGGATTGAACTGATCAGCAGACACGCGCTTTGCAGTGCCCTGAACCAATTTGAACCTTCTCATTTTTTGGAAATAGGGTGGGACTGTGTTTCACGCGCTTACAATGACAATTTAGTTGCGTTCCTCCGGACTTTTCAGAATCCCCTTGCGCAACGGAGAATGACATCTTTCAAGGTTGGTTACGATCCGGGAGATATTTTTTTGCACATAAATGAAATCAAAGGAGTCAGTCATTGAGATACAGGACCAGACCTTTATTGCTGATTCATCCAAATTCGACTCGACAAATTTTTTCCACCGTGCTCCAAAAAAAAAGAGAGGGGGAAAAACGTTCAAGGATATCACAGACACAAGCGAAAAATCGACAAAAATGAGGTTCGTTCTACACATAGGAAATGCAAAAAAAAAAAAAAAAAAAAAAAAAAACAACTGGAAGAAATTTTTTTCGAATCCTAAAAAAAAAAAAATAAAAAAAAAAAAAAAAAAAAAAAAAAAAAACAGCTGGAAGAATTTTTTTCCGAGTCCTGTAACATGTTTCCTTTTCGTCAAGTGAGTAAGTTTTCCTTCATCTTCCTTCTTCCATCACAGCATTTCTTCGTTAGCTCAAGACCCAATGGATTCAACATCTCCGACTCGAATACAATGTTTTTTCTTCTTTTGTTAACGAAAGACAACAAAAACACGGATTTTCTCCTTTTTGCAAATCATGTTTTTTAGCAGCCTCACTCTCTCCTCCTCTCTCAATCGTTGCTCGCACCGAGTAAAAACAAAAATCGCCATTTTTTTCCTGGCGGGATGAACACACAATAATAAAAACAAAACGGTTTCTTTTGTTAGCTGACCAAGACTGGCGTGTGACCAAAGACACAAAAAAATGCAACCGAGACTTTACCAGGAGCGAAACACCTAGTACCAGAATTAGTTACCTGTTTTCACCAACTTTGGCATCAAAAATTGCTTCAGCGTTTTCTTCTTCTTTCTTTATTCTTTTATTGATCGAGGATGAATGATGGTCATGCGATGGACGACGGAGGAGGGTCAGGATTCGTGGCCCGACGGCCAGACCGAGAACTACTCTTCCTGGCCCGACGTCCGTTGCAGAAGGCAGTTTCTCCAACTGGGCCCAAATAGGCCATGGGGGCCCAACCCTGCTTCTCTGGACCTGCAATCGACATCAATTTGGTCAATGCACGAATTCCCAAAAACGCACTTCAAAAACAAATTAAAGCAAGCTATAATCTCGTGTTTGGTGGAAGCCTCTTTTCATACGCGAATACAATAGACTCGAGTATATTCAACTTCATGAATTGGCCTAGAAAGAATTAATTTTCAACAGCTGACTGGTTCGAATATCCAATAAGAAAATTCATTCATGATTTTTTTGTCTTCCTGATACATTCAAGTGCAGAAACGAGATTACCATCAAGAAAAATATAAGGAAACCAGAGACATGAGTAATCGATCGATTAATGGTCAGATGGGAATCTTAGTCCCACTTCTCTTTTTCCAGGCATCAGCCAACTTCCAAGAAAGTAAGTTCGCGAAGGAACATGAGAACAGGTTCAGTAGGATTTCTCTTTTCCTTGGGACACGGGCTGGGGTCGGCAACAGAATCAATCAAAATGTCACATACTGTACACCAAATGCTCTTATTTTTTCAATGTCGGGAGTAGATAATTGAATACGCTCGTGAGCATTATTGTTTACTGATTCAACACGACTTCCAGACTCCGGTGCAAATACAGGAGTAGATCACAAGATGTCGCCCACTTACTCCGCATGGATTTCACGTAACACCATCCCATGCCTCCGGTCTGCACAACCTCTACAACCTCTCCTTCCACCAAATCCACTTCGGACGGCTCCAGCGGAGAATAATCCGCCAAGCAAACATACACGCGTGGTGCCTGCAAAAAAATAAAATAAATAAAAATGAAATAAACGAACGATAATCAACTCACATCCACGTGTAGCCACAAAATCAATCTCCATTAGTCGGCAATACAATTCAAAAATACCCTCAATTTTCGAGAGAAATTTTCATCCTCTTCCACCCCCACCACTACAGTATACGTGCATTTAAAAAATCGTGCTCGACAATTACCTCGAAACCCATGAGGCCACTGGCCATGGTGTCAGTCTCCCAGTCGCTCTCCTCTTCCAAACACGACGACTCCACATCATACTCCTCCTCTTCCTCCTCGTCCACATCTTCGTCATCGTCCGCCTCATTCTCTTCCGCCGTCACGTACGACACCCGGTTGGTGTCGACGGACGCCGACATGCGCTTGGAGCAACTCGAGTTCCGACTACAGCTACTAGATGACGCTCGACTCGAACACACGCTCGAGGCGTCCCACGCTGGCGCCGGAGCCGAATGCTGGCGTCGCAACGCCACCAAACCCGAGTATTGTCGGGCGTTTTTCCCGCGCAGGTTCTGCAGTTGCTCAAACAACACCCGTTTGATTTCTCGCACCCACTCGGCCTTGGCGTCGGCACTCGGCGCCTGCAGCACGTACACCTCGTGGCGGCTGGACACCCACAGCTCGAACTTTTTCGACGAACGCCCAACCTTTTCCGTCATCCCAACCTCACTCATCTAGCAAAAGAGGAAGGAGAAACCGATTTGATTCGAATCTAGATAGATAACCCTTCGATGAGAAATTGAAACTCACATTCAAGTAGTGCTTGAACTCGTACGCAAACGGCGACTCGAAGGTGACATCAGGAGTTCCGCAGTACGCCACAAAGCTCGTCACCGACGGCCACGGCACTTGTTTGCAAAACAATAACGCTTTTTCATACAAGAAAAGGTGTCTACTTTTCGGCTTTCTCTGAGAAGGCAACAGGTTCAAGGCAAGTCGACTTCGACCACTTTTGGCGCTCGCTGTATCGAACCGCTGTTCCCGATGCGTGATCCACACGTGAAACGGACCACCGTTCAACAGCATCCTGCCTTGCTGCTCCAACAATGTCATCTGCAAAAAGTGTAAAAAAATTATTCAAGAGGCATCAAAAAAATAAAATTTTTTTTACCAAGTTAAAAGCGAGAACGACATTCACACTTTCACAGCATGTTAAAAACAGAATCAGGAATTTCATTCCCTTCGGCTTGAATTTCATCAGGTCTCATAATATAAAATTTAAAAAAATATTGAACGCATTAGGTTAAAAAAAGCTATTTCAAGTTTCTGAACGAGGGTTCGGTTCCAGAGTTGAACTTGATTCGAAAAAATGATACAACAGGCGACACCTCTCTGCCAAAACAACCATAAACGTACAATCAAAAAAGATTCTCAGTTTCCAATCTCAGAAAGAAAGAAAAGAATTTAAAAAAATGTGGGATCCCATCCACAGCTTACTTACCGGGAACCCGAGGATGGCAACCTGATGCATAGAATCATTGACGCTCTTCAACACCCCCAACATCGCATCCAAAGCTTCGGCTAAATCCCGACTTCCAAACTCCGCAGGGTCCGAGTACCTCACCAAATCCTTGAGCAACAACTGGTACTTGGTGACTCTCTGCACCGGCTTCAGCAAATAGGCACTTAGTGGCAGTTTGTGACCCAGGTTCCTCTGGCACTCCAAGAAAAACGGGTTGCTATCCCCCACCCGTCTCCTCAGGTCTTCAGACGACGGCTTGTTTCGGCAGTATTTTGTGTACAACTGATACAATTGGTCCTTCTGTAGAATAAAAAAAAAAATTACAAGAAAATAAAATCCATTGATGAAAAGGGGCCTGAAGAGCATAAGTTTTAATTGAAAACATTTTAAACAATAATAATAACGACAGAAGCTCGAGCTTATTCGACTGTAGCCAGATGTCTTATGCATATGTCCAAGACGAAATTAATAGCCGGATACCACGAGCCTTCGAGTGAGACACGCACCCCAATTTTTCACCCTAAAATTTGGATGAAATCTTATGAAATGAAATCTGCGCACTTCATTTTATAGTAACAGAAAGCCAAAATACAGTATTTCAAAAATAGTGGTCACCAGAATTTGCATTCGGACATGAATCCCACTTGAATTCAATTAATTTTTTCATGTTTTGATTCTAAAAAAAAAAGTTCCCGCCAAAAATTTCTCCATCACAGTTATATTCAAGTGTGACGCTCACCTAAATATCTGAAAAATTTTAGAAATTGTATCCCCGCTTATGGCGTGCACACATTTTTTCCTTTTAATTTCAAAGAAAAAGGTGCGCCCGGTGCTTGAGAAAATACGGTAGTCTCCTCATTAAGACAAGCCGAGAACAACTGGAGAAGTTTTCTTTACGAAAATTACAACCAAGATCTATATGTCTGTCTCTCACTCTCTCTTTGATCTACCCATGAATTGAATTCACTCTACAACAGTCTCTAGAAACTCACGCGTTGCATGAAACACTTGGCGACCAGACACGGCTCTTCAAAAGACGCCTCCAACTCGAGGAGGAAGACGTCGCGGTGAAAGGCGGAAATGTCTTCCAAGTTGCCAAAGAGAACATCGGCCCTGCCCGAGAGAGCAGCAGGGGTCAGTTCCTGCATCTCCCGTCGCACCAACGGCTCTCTGTAGCCCCGCAAAATGGCGTCCAACTCCGCCACGTAAACCCGCTCCGTATCCACCAGCTCCTTGACAACCAGGGACCGTTTCCGCTTCCGTTCGCCGGTCTGTTGAATGGTGATCGCATCCGGCTTCGGCACGGTTCTGCTGTCCCAACTACTCCTGCCGCTGTCGCTCCTCACATCCGTCGTCAGCGACGTCGACGACCCGGTCTTGAAATGAATTGGTAAAAAGTGTATTCAACGATCTACTGTACGGCAGAATAAAGGAAATTTTTTTTTTTAATCTTGCCGATACGAACACAAATGCTTGTACAATACATTACTGTATTACTTCTTCAAAAACGTGAATGTTTTCGAAAAGTGTCTTTTTCCCATTAAAACGACTAAAAGCTAATTTCGGAAAACGAATAAATATGATGCCAATTAAATCGAGTAAATATGTGCATAACCATGATTTTAATGCTTTATACCCCATTTTACGTTCAGAAAATATCCTCTCGCTCAGCCCTATAAAAAAAGATTAAATTTGCTGATTAATTACGGTAGTTTAGCTGGAGAAAATTTCTTGAAGTGAATGGAACGTCCGCTAGCTTTTCTTTATACATGAAAGCTTACCAGATACGAAGCGAAAGAGAAAAACATTTTCGAAAAAAGCTCGAAATTTTCAGAAGTCGTTAAACACGGTCGACAACATTTTTTGGCGACTGGCACGACTTCAGAGAAAAAATCCTTGTCTTGAAATGAAAAAAAGCGTGAAAAATACAAACCAGATCTGAATGCAGTTTAGACCCGGAATTCCTCTGCACAATATCGTTGACTACGGCATTAGACGAGTCCAGCAACATTGGGACGGATATACAACGAATCTTATCGGCAACGTTGATCTCCCGGTTGTCCTTTGCGTATTGCTCAGTTTCCATCTCAATAAAGCCATGTCTAACGTCCACTTGGTCTACTGCTGCTGCTGCAGCGACAGCCACTGGAGATGCAGTTGTGGGATGCACGGTTTGCACGGGTCTGCTCGGCTTCGTCGACAGGCGCTTCAGACACACTCTTCGTTTCTCGCACATTGTCAAAATGTCTTCCATCCTCGTCCTCACCTGCTCAACACCGCAATAGACACGAATAATAAACAAAAATTCGCCAAAAACAATCTCAAACGTTAATCCATAACTGGGAACTCTCGGGTTTTCTTCGAACGAATATTCTTCATACAAAGCTTTTTAATGAGCAGTCACTTAGAGACAGCTCTAGTAAGATTCATTTCTGCATTTTTGATGTCGATGGCAAAACTGCTCAAGTCTTGACATGTTCTGATTTGGGAATTACCACAATTTGGACACATTTTTTATTATAACATGGCTGTCAAATCCAAAAGGTAGTACTGTAGAACGAAAAATTTGAAAACCAAACATTAAGTTTCAGAATACAGTACAGTGATACAAAACGCTCTTCAACATTTTTCTGAACTTCACATGGAAAAATCTGCGACATCCTTCTTGGCGAAAAAAGAGAAAAATCGACTATTTTATTGCAGTGAAACAAGGTGTACTTGCCATTTCAACCATACTAGGTTTCCTCATTTTGTCCACGTCAACAACGTTCCCACAGTTTTCTACGATCAATCTAAGAGAGGATCTCCCTTCCAAAAACTTCTCCAGATCACTCAAGGCCTTTTGTGCAAAATCCACAGAAGCGTATTTCTCAACTTGCTGCGCCGCAAGCAACTCTACGCCCTGAGAACACCATTCATTTGCCTGGAAAATAATTTACAAAAAAAAAAAAAAAAAAAATAAATAAATTGTTCAAAATTTGATCCCTTTTTCTGATGGATTTCCAAATCACCTCTTGTATCTCTGCGAGAAGTTGGCGTTGATGCACAAGACCTGCGTCACACTCAGCAACTCGGGATTTGAGACTGGAATTGAATTGCCCTAGTTCAGTGCAAATCGGCACCAGGTGTTCGGATTTCCGGTCCACGGGAGAGTTGGCAGCGTGTTGAGCCATAGCCCAACCTCGGGTTTCAAGCTCTTCACCTTCCAACAAGGAATCCTGGATACAATCGCGGAACCGGACGAATTCTTGACTTAATTCATCCAAAATCGCGAAGGTCTCGGCTTGAGAGATCTTCGCAGCCAGTGCATCCAATTCCCGCAGATTCTCCTTCAGCATTGACACGAGTTCCCGCACTTGGAGCTCGTATTTGAGACACTCGAGCATCTCGACGAGATCAGACTTCCGTTCGGTCCAGATTTCGTTACAAAACCGACGCTGGGTCTCTTCGAGTTGCAGCAAGAGGCTCTGGACGGATGCCACGTTGAGGACACGGTTTGGGTACAGTCGGGACAGGGCTGCTGGGTCTCGGGAATAGGGTTCGCGAAATAGGGCCAGGAGAGTTTCGCCGGACCGAACTGCAGATTCGAGATCTTGGTTCAGCTTAGCCTGTTCCGCGGATTCGTTTTCAAGACACAAGCGAAGTGTTGCGATGTCAGGCTGAACTTCTTTCGCTCGGATTCGACTAGAAAACTCCTGGAGACGTCGCGAAATCAGCTTCGCAGATTCATCAAATTTCTCCAGTGCCTTAAAAAAAAAATTATAATTAAAAAAAACACAAACACACAAATCCTATTCAAGACTCTTAACTACGGAATTCCTCTCCTGGAGAGAATGCTGAGAAAATAAAATAAATATAAATAGGTACGTACTCAAGACTGCCATGACAATTTCTCAGACCCCGCCCTATCTTTCCGTTTTCTAATACTGTACTTCTCACAGCTCTGCGACTGCAAGGATGGCAACCTGTCCAACCTAATACTCAGGCTCAAGTTACACAATACGCAATCACCGTATTTGGAATGTTGGTTCGCAGATGGGCACATACACACGCATACACACACTCCAGAGTGCACCATCAAAACACAGTCAAGAGCTTTTCGAAATTTACCTTCGGATTGCACAGGATACATAGCCTCTCTTTCACAGAAATGCATTAAAATAAATTTGCAACTCACGAGACGATGCTGCATCCATTCGGAATGGGAATATGGCAGAGTGCCTCCCAAATCAGAAGTAAGTTGCCCTGCGTCCAAATGCTGCTTGAGATCCTCAATCCCGTTGCAAAGCACAATCTTGAATGGATGAGAACTGAAAATCTGTGCGGCAAAATCATCGTTGTGCAAGCTGGAACTAGAAAACTTCTGAGATACTTCGCAGATGGCCTTTTGCAACAATCCAGTCGGCCTGAGAACGAAGGCCAACCGCACCAATGCAGGAAATCGACCCTGTGACAAATATATAAAATGTATTCATTTATATTCATAAAATCGGAACAGTTGAAAAAACTGACGGATATTTTGGCAATTGTCGCCTTGACCGAACTCCATTTGTCATGTCTCCGGTCAATAACCAGAACGAATCCCATATCAATATCTTGCAGGCTGAAAAGAAGCACAAAATTAATCGTCCAGCAATTGCAAACAATCTCAAACCTTCAACCATTCATACCTCCATAGTAAGCTATAGGAGCGCATGAACGAAATTGAAGCAAAATGTTCAGTAAAAAACGATTACACGCTGGAAACGCAACCCTGAACCTACCTCGGAACGGACGTCAGGTAGGAAATAAGCAATGCGAAATTTTCATCACTCAAATTGAGAAATTTCCCGGTGTCGGGAAAAGTAATGATGGGACATCCTTCTCTTGACCTTCCGCCTGCGAAAATCAATTTTTACTTTGTGAACCTCCCTTTCAAATTCGACATTAAGCTTACCAGTAATGATGGCATGTTGTTCTTCTAGCAAGTGAGCGACCTGTTGGAACGAGACGGAGAGATTCACGTCTCGTATGCCTTCCATCACGCCCACTTGTGGCATTAGGAAATGCTTTCCTCACTGCCATTCACGCCATTCTTCTACATTCGCGAGAATAAAATCAAAAGGAGTCCGCAGTTAAGCCCGAAAAATGTCTCCAACACAGCGTCAAAATTTCTCAGTTCGAGGAAGACACACGTTGAACAACGGACATTTTCCTCGAAACGTGCAAGATGTAAGAATAACTCGTCCATAGTCTGCACGCATCTACATCAATCAAATCACCAGCACGCCTCATTTCAGCGAATACCAAGTACGAGAGGATTACGACACCTCAGAATGATCGAAGCTCACCGCGTGCATGCGTAAGGTTACAGATCCTCTGCTTCACTTCATCAAAAACAATCTATTCTTGGGGCAAGGACAATGACATTCAGTTGAAGAACCGGATTCCGCTGAAGGTTTTTTTTTCGGCACTGTATGCGACCACACCACTTTATTTCGCGTTAAAGTGCTTCGTCTTCTTGTATTCGTAGAATACCCCAGAAATCATACAACATAAATATTTGCAAGGATTTTCTTCGATTCAATACCGAAATTTTATGAAGCCATGTTAAGTACATGCACTACACCGCAGTTGAGTGACTTGAGTCTGACTTGCACCTAAGTTCCATATACACTGTATTGCAGTATGACAAATAGTATTGTAGTGAATAATAGCTCGGTACTGTAGATGAGTTCAAGCTATTTCATACTCGGTCGCGGGAATTTAAGCTACATCTGGGTCGATTGATGCAGTTGTACTCATTAAAGCCTGATGACTTTTCGGAGGAAGTCGAGTATCAAATGGATGCGGAGAGTGAATTTCCAGTGCCGACGTAGATGTGTTTCCATTTTACATTACGCTCTTCGCTTGTGATTTTTACCCATTCCTTTACCCCGAGTGCATAACGAAGGATTGGTAGTACGTCACCTTTCGCATCAATTGCGCAGAGCATTATTACCCGTTATTCACGGCACTAGGGTTCTTGCTTGAAACGAAAGCAGTGTTATCTATTCGTAGAATGCCAGAAATAGGAGCTTTTCGATCACGAATCGTGCGACGTGGTGACGGCCAACACCGTTCGATTCATTCACGCACCAACGACGTCGAGAATGGCACGAACGCAGAAAATCAGGAAGAAGATGTAAATGTCTCGCGACCGAGGTAAGTCACAGTTGCTGTTATCGTTTTCTGGAGAATAAGCATTTATATTCTTTAAGATACCCTCGTGTTATGGTCCCGCAACGCGGTCAGCGGAGGCAACACCGTGCTGGCGGATCCAAGCACCAGCAGTCGTCCATTCCAGACGACACGATCCCCGGGCACTTCCAGCGAGTGGATCCGGATAAAGTTGAAGATCATGAGAAGCCTGAAGGGAATCCCAAGCGTGTGAAGAAACCGAAGTCCAAACGTGCTAACAAGGTATTGCTTCGTCTTCCGATTTTGCCGAGTGTTTTCACTTTGGAGGAGTGCTCGGATTTCCGCAAGTGTGTCATTCAGTTCAAGAAACTTCCCGCGGGTAAGTGATATTGAGTGATTCTTGAACAGGTATTCAGATCGAATTTCCGTTTTCGCATTACCCGTTCATTGCAGTAAGTGACGATGAGACGTTGAATCACTTGGAGGAAATTTACAAAGGCCACGATCCCTACGAAGTTGCTTTGAAATTACTTCTGTTGGCATCTTGCATGAAGGTGGAACCATCCGTTTACAGTAAGTTCTAGTCTATTGTTTCTTCTCAGGAGGAAAGTACCGTGTCAGGAAATAATCGCTCCTTCACCTTGGTTATCTTTTTGATGTGACTGAAGCTTTTGCTTGTCCTTTGATTCGTTGCAGGATTTTGAACTTAACGCAAGCGAAGGTTCATTCCGGAATGTTGATGATTTGGAAAAAAATTACTCTGGCACAGGATGATTTTCTTATTTGTTTTACAGAGTCCATTCTGACTGTGTCCTGCAAAGTCGTGAAGAATTTTGAAGACGCATGTGCACCTGACCTGCAAGAAAAGGCGTTAGTTTTTACGCATTCATCCGTATTGAAACCCTTCGCCGAGGATATGCACGGGCTTTTCAATGTCGGAAATCTTTCAATAAAACATGTGGAAAACGCCATCAAAATCATGATTAAGTATCACATGTACGAGGCTGCCATGGAAGTTGCGCAGTTCAATGCGATTGAACATCGGTACACTCCAGAAGATTTTGTCATTCCGCTTCTCTTGAGGGGAAAGTTTAAGCAGCTGGGTTCACTGCTACAGCAAAGCTCGCATTTCTTGGAACCTGCGCTTAGTTTCCTTGACGGATTGTTGGCACGGTCTCATGAGGATTTCAAAGTGGAGATTCAGTGAGTATTTTGCAAGCATTTTTCCGATAGCTATTGACCTACTAATAAATTTTTCCAACAGAAAGTTTGAGGTGCCCGAAATGAAGCTGAAACGACATACCATCGTCCTCAAAGTGATCGACTGGCAGAAAACCCTTGGGTTTGACATGCGTTTGTGTCCACAGGTCACGCTTGCATGTGGGAAATTACAGTTGATAAAACTGGTCACGCGTTTCCTTCACCGTAAAAATCTGCGTAAGTTACAGCTTGAGAAACTCATTGAAACAGTCACAAGAATGATATTTTTTGTAGCATATGTGAACTGGTGTGAGATGGTGGAAGAATTTGTTGCGGGAAATCCTCTCATGGCGAAGTTGCTCGTTACTGAATTGTTGCAAAATGGTGCTGTTGATGAAGCAAAGCATTGGGCCGATAAGAAAGGTGTTGAATTGCCTGAAGTGGTCGCCGATGGGTCAGGGAATCATGGGTGAGTTTTTTTCTACCTTTCGCTCGGATACGGATTTCTTTAAAAACTCGAATGTCTTTAATAGAGACGGTGTCACCAAAAGAAGGGTCAAAGAATTCGAGTATCTTGATCTTGATGTGGACATGGACAAGGTTCAGTTTGTAGATTCCGAGGACGGTTGTGTGAAGGCGTTCGAGGAGCTGTCAAAGGTAAGTTATCCTGCTGGGTACGAGAATTTAACATCCTGATTTTTAGTTCGAATCGGGCGAGAGATTACGATAGTCTCATTCGATTGACATTTTATGCATTGAAAATTAGTTTTACATTTTAAGGCGTAGAATATTCGATTTACTGATTGTGGAAACATTCTGGATAAACGAAACTTGATCAATTCATTATTTTGACCAGGCTGGAGAAGTGGCATTTGCCACGGAAAGGACACCCGGGGTCAGGTGGAAACCCCGGAATTTTCCAATTTTGCAGCTCGCGACTGCATCCCAAGTCTTCATTTTCGACGTGCCAAAACTCCTCAAATCGTCAGCATTTCATGAAGGACTGGACAACATGTTCGTTTCCAAAACTAAGATTATTGGTGCGTCGACGATTTAGTATTATACTTCCGATTTTTTCCGCGTATTCACGTTTTTACTTCCCAGGTTATAACTTCAAGTCGAAGGTCAGCACATTGAAGAAGATGGTTGGTGCTTCAAAGCAATGGGGAGGAAAAAATGTGCTGGATTTGAAGCATCTGACTGGCTTTTTCGTGAACAAAAATTCGGATACAAATGCGCCAGGTTTGTATTTTTTCAATTATTGTCTGTATTTGTATTGTTAGTCATAGTGTAAAAGCGCTTCACTTTAAAATAATCAAATTAGCCCGTATCGAATGCTGTAATAATTGAGGTGATTAATTGATTGATGAGTTCTATGACACGTTGGGCTTTCTTACAATCTGATAGTAATATTGCAGAGGAGGGCGTTGATTTATATCTGATTTGTTTGACGTACCGTTTAGCTTTTGTGCTATTTTGTAACGTTCGATTTTTGAGTTCTGAAACTAAAGTAGCTTGAATTCTTCGCCTTGAGCACCTGCAAAGTTCAATGGATTCAGGCGACACCTTAACAAAATCTGAAGATATAGGGTTTAGTAAAGAAATATGTCTGAATACATTACGTTTTATTTTTATTTTTACGTGCTTCATGTTTCATTTGAATTTTATTCTTCTTTATAGAAGATGTTGGGGAACAAAAGCCAAAATTGAAGAGTCGGTTCCGTGGACTTCGAGAACTGACTGAGGCTGTGCTTGGAAAAGCCTTGAATTCTTCGGAAGAATATTCGAATTGGGACAATCGTCCTTTGCGAGACTCGCAGATGTTGTTCGCAGTTCGTGAAGTCAGTGTCCTTTTGCGTATCTACGAAACAGCTGGAATAGAAGCGGAGAAGCTGGGAAAAACTTACTCGGATCTCGTGGTCCCACATTCTCCCCGCAAAAAGTCTGTGGATGAAAAGGCTCCGGCGGAAAGCAAGAAGAAGCTGAGGAAGAAGATGAAGAAGCCGTTGGATGAGGCTTTGAATAGTGATGATCGTCATGTTGAGGTAAGCATGAGGCTTTTGTTGAGAACGACATTTTTTGGAAGTGTTTTCTTTTGTTGGAAGAAGGTGACTATTGAAAATTTGAATACTTTTTTGTGTATGTTTTGGGAAAACCGAAGGAGATTCTCGTCGACGGAAAGATTCCTGACATCATGGCGAACACAAAGAAGAAAACCGATATCAAGTTTGTGATCGACCGCGCTTTGCACAGACTCTGTAAGCCCCAAATTTCTTTTCTGGCTTTTAATTATTTGCTTATTTCAATTTGTCGAATTTGTTTTTTCAGCGCGCTTCATGATAAAAGGCGGTTGCGACGTGATTTCCTTCGCGAATCGTGGAGGTGAAGAACCGATTCCTGAAGAGTGGATTAAAGAGAACCGAGTTATTCTGACGGACAAGCGCGGCTTCAAGAATGTGAGTAATTATTTTGGGATTCCTCGGAGTTTTTGCCTGTTACGTGAGACTCATTGTCATTCGAGTTGAGTGAAGTTTACCGTAAATTTTTCAGCAGAGTTTTTGTGTTATACTGTACTACGAAATCATAATAAGTAGAATAATTCTTAGATCGATTTTTCGCTTGGGGAATTTCTTGAAAACAAGGGTGCACATGCTTATTTTTGCGACTTCTTTGCCTGTCACGAAAAAGTATGTAGCTACGGTTGAAACTGTTCGAGCGAGTTTAATAATTCCAGACCAAATGTGAAGATTCTTCATATAAAAACGGAATACTAAACAATGTTTTCAAAGTTTTCATTGATGCAAATAGATGGGATAACTACGAGTGCTACTTCCATTTCATTTTTCTCTGAATCGCACGTTCACCTTTTAATTTTGCAGCTGAAGGATCGAGTTCCCCCGGGGTATTGTTACGGAATTCGAAACAAAAAGCTTTTTTACCAGGTGACGGAGGTGTGTAAGACGTACAGCATTTCGGATTTAGATTCATACAAGAAGGATTCAAAGGAACAGCCGGAATGAAGAAGATAACGTGAAGAAGCCGGGAAAACACTTGTTTGATATGAAATTCGTGTACATCGTGAGGATTCGGCCAATGTTGCTTGCGTGAGAAAAAATTATTTGGTTTTTCGGTCAGAGGAAATTTATTTGGGATGAAAAGTTGCTGTCAAAAAATATGGCTATTTATTTACTGTTACCTATATTGTCATCGCTTGTGGATTTTTGACTGCATTTATATGTTTCAGGAAGCTTCAATGTGAATACTGAGGTGCGGTTTAAATATTTTTCTATTCAGTTAACTTCTGTGCAAAATATTTCTCATTGAATTGTGCTCGAGTTGAATGTGAATGTGCGATTTTACCATTCTGAAATATCTGCCAATCCGTGAATTGCGTTTTATGTTTGTAAACTCGCGTATTCTGCTAAATTTTATCGATTTATATTTACATGCTTAGCCTCTGTGAGAACATTTTGCTTTTTTCAGATGTGAGAATTTTAAGGAGTATAATTGTGTGTTAAATATGACGGAGGCGGCGGTTCCGACGAACGCAACTCGTTGGATGCTAGCCACAACTGGTGCTCTGAGGCGAGCAGTTGTTGCTGATTCTGGTGACAATTGCTGGATGGACTTTTTGCAACTGATGGTCAGCTTCCGAGAGTCTTTGGCGTGCACCGTTTGCAAAGGCATTGTTTGTGAGGCAAAATACCCGGTTCCGGATAGTGGTGGCCATGATTGCCAGCATCACGTCTGTAGTCATTGTTTGGGCAGCAAGAAAATACTGAAACCGAGCTGCTCCTGGTGCAGGGATTATGACCTGTATGTCGATTGTGCTTGCTTGGATTCCCACGTAAGTTGTCTTTTTTTTTTTCGGGGAGAATCAAAACCGTTTGTGACGTTTTGAATCACTAGGTCCGAGTGTACCGAGGAATTTTCAAGTACTGCGTATCCCTCAGACAGTTTCAGTCTGTGAAGAGTAAGTCGTTTGATTCCAGAAGAACTCTGCTCACTTTACCTGAGAACTTGCAACCGCTTTCCTTGGAAACGCTGTTGAAAGAAGTTCAGCAAGCTGAAAAATATGATGTCATGGCTTTGGAAGTGCATTTAGACACTGACGATGATTTCCAAGCATTCCAACAAGAACCAATCCTGAACGAAGGAAATTATTTCCATGAAGGGAAACTCGATGGGAAAGGCAATTATTCGCCGTCGCGTTTTTCCGAAGAGGAGGAGGAGGAGGATTTGGAACAAGAATCAGAGGAAGAAGTCATTCAGCAGCAAATGCACGTTATGAGAGAAATTATCATCTCGCCAATTCCACAAAATGTGAAATCTTTGAAGAGGAAGCTGCGACCCATTGTCAGACAAAACTGCAAGTGAGTTTTTCAAATTTGTTTATTAAATCGGGATTTTAGGCCATTCGGTCTTTCGGTGGATTATTTGGTCTGCTTGAATGAAATGTTGAAGAAAAAAAATTACGAGGCAAATTGTTGAGTTGCTTCGCTGTAATTTTATCTTAATTAGGCAATCCGTTCAAGTTATTTGGATATTAGGCGAGGTTTTTTTATTTTTTTTTAACTTACACTGTGAACTTTAGCTTTTTTCATATGCGTTACCATGATCAACTTGTTCCCAGGTGCAGGAAAGTCAGCACAGGAGGCGGCTACTCAACCTTGTGCATCAACACCAAATGCTCTTGCTTTGCTGTACAGGCGTCTTGTAAATCTTGCTCCTGTCAAAATTGTGGGAACCCATTCGTTGGTGAATGTGTGGAAATAGCACTTTGTCCAAATGGCTAATCGTTATATGTAACCCACGGGAATTCTGTATTGTCAACGATTGTGATTTGTTGTGTAAGGAAAGTTCAAAGGATGTTTTCAGAGTTACCCGCAAGTCTTTTACTTTATCCTTCGTTTTTCATAACCTCAGGATTGCTTTTGTTTTTTCAATTGTTCATTCCTCCCGTTTCTGTTTGTGAGATTTCACCCGTAATCCGAGGAAAAAGCTTTTGAGAAAATGCGATGAAAGCGTGACCAGTGACGAAACCTGACCCAGAAGAAACCAACAATGTTTGTGCGAGAGCAGCTAGTTGAACAAGAGCCTGAGTCATTGCTGTTCTTTCGACGCCTTCTGGGAATGTTCCCATGTGTCCAGAGTCCTGTGCTTTGGTCTTCCAAAGATAGGATGCCTTTGCTGGAGACCTCGCTTGATAAATGTGATACAAACGGAGATTGTAGCCAGCTTCTTCTGCAAATCCTGCCAGCACGCTGGAAGCTATCCCGGAAGCCACACCGGGAAGCAGATGACAAGAAAATATCGTGGTGAGTTGTGTTGGCAAATCTCTATAAACAAAAACAACAAAAAATGCAACGGATGGTTGAAAATTTTCGTCAATTTTTGGAATATACTTCTGCGGGCAGTTTTATTTACAAATTTTGGGAAGCAGACGTTTTCTGATCTGATCTTCCTATCGGCCGCGAAATTAATGGCTGTTTGAGAATTTTAAATTTCCATGACCAGCTTCAATGAAACGTTTTTTCTGTCGTCAAATTTGGAAGTGCTGAACATTTTAATGCATTATTTTAATCGTATTTTTTCACATATGAGTAAAATATTTCTAACCAATGGGATATGGACAAATCCAGACAAAATTCAAGACGGGGCAATTGGAGACATGAACATTTAGAGACAGGGATAATTTGAGACAGTCCCAGAGCAACTCTGAGCACAAAATTTGTTCTCTCTTCTATGCGTTTTTCTGATTTTCCCAGGATGCCCCCTCCTCAACTCCGCACATCTTTTTTTATTTTACACTTAATTTTCTGGTTTTCCCAAGATAAAACAATAAAAGCCCTCTTCCCCTTTTTCTGTCATCAGTCTGGGGCAAAATTAAGGAAGAATCTTGATTGCTATATTACTTTAATTATTTCTCCAATTGTTGTCTTAATTATTTGTCTGATTGGATATTAAATTTTGACCAAATCATGCAATTTTTGTTCATTTTCACACCTTTGACATTAAATATGAGGGAAAAGCACTGGAAAGTCATTTTGATAATGCCTTGTGTCTCATGAAAATTGTCCCTGTCTTGAATTGGCCCTGTCTCACTTTGTCCTATATCTCTAACCGATTAATATTTCAGGGCAGTCTTCACAATTGGCAACGCTGACAAATAATTCCAAGCTCATGAACATTTTCCGGGTTGAACACGATTCAAATAAAATAAAAAATGCATATGTGGCGAGCGAATCTTTTTTTTCTGCCATGGAGACACCTCTTTGATTGTCAGTATTTGAAACAAAATCATGCAATTTCAATGTGCATAAATTACGTCCTTTTTGTCCATCCAAAATGCTAAGCGCACTGCTGAAAAAATAAAACTGAGGAACAGCCCCTAGTTTATGTTGGTTAAAATGTGAAATTGTCTTTCACCATCCTTACCCAGGAAGCTTTGTGAACCTAGGGGCAAGTAGGAAACAGCCCAAGGATCCCACGACACCCCCAACAATGCCCATGAGAATGGCCCCAATGGGCTCCAGCATGGTGTAGCAAATCCCTGCGCTGATGACACCACCGCATGTCAGTCCCAGAGTGCAGTTGGTGTCCACATTATTAGTGTTGAACCACGTGGAGACGATGCTGAAGGACACCATTGCCGAAGAGCAAGTAAGAACGGAATTCAAGTAGGCTCTGTGAGGTTCATCGCCTGGGTAGCCGAGGGATGCGTTGAATAGTGGCCAAGATGCTGCCAATAGTATGTTGGCCACCTGTTCACGGGGTGGGAGAAAAGGAGAGAGAAAAAAACTTATGGGATTGGTTTTTAAAATGTAGAGAAAAACTTTTTTTTTTTTTCGTCACGTGTGTGTGTATGGGATCGCAGTTTGGGCCAGATGGAGAACAGCTACTTGAACTCGGGGACAAACGCAGTCTCTGGTAGAAGCTCGCGTTCTTCTGCAGGATGTACGATGAAGATAGGGCAAACCCGGCGGAAAAGATGTGCATTGTGAAGAGGAGGCCGGTGTCCGTTGCCATCCAAACATATCTTGATACAGTATTATTCAAAATCAGGCAAAAATAACTACCGTATATTCTCTAATACGGTGTTCCCCAACTCTGCTGAAGTGAATTATTTTAATCTTTCATCCCGAGAAACCTTTTTTCAAGCCCGCCTCTCTAATTTTGAAAGACTGCTGTAGATGCTTCATTGGGTTTCAACTCAATTCTTGCAAAAACAGCAGAAACTTTTGAAATAACTGTCATGAAGTCTGCAAAATTTTTATGGAAATTTGCAGGTCCGCAAAAAGGTTGGGAAACCCTGCTTTAGTGAATGCTCCCGGCTTTATTTAAAATTTTAAACTTTTCAGGGTTTATTTGTAATAGTTGAGACTACCCAAGACGAGGGAAAGAAAAAAAAAGCGAAGAAAAACAGGAAAAACCAATGTGAAAATTATGAAAACCCCAACAACTTATGACTTTTGAAAATCCCGTTATGATCGCAACTTTTTCTTGGAAAATGAGACCGGAATGCTTTGAGAATTGATTATGGGGAATGGATTCTTTGTGTAGCTGTGAATGCATGGGTGTAAAGGATTTCTCGGATTAGGAGGACTTTCAGAATTCTTTAACCCCCCAGACATTTGTTGGAGAAAATACGGTATACCGGAAAATGTCATAAGTATTTTAACCTTAAAACGTATTCATTAGCAGTGGCAATTGTTTGCCCAAGTGCTGCCAAAAGAACGGATTTTGTAGAGCTTGCCCACGAAGTGGAGGATATTGCTGCGAAAATCAGGATGCCGCAACAAGCAGATTTTTGCGATTCCAGGAAAGTCTCGATCTCTGTTGTTCAAAATGTTCTGTTACTGCTTGAAAAGAAGAAATGTAATTGATCGAAAATTATCTCCTCACCTACTGTGATCTCTAAGGCTTGTTTTTGTCTGATTGACTTTGATAACCCTTCCAAGAGCAGAGAAAATTCCCAGATTAGAGTAAAGGCGATCAATTTGAACCCATGTGGTACCTGTGTACAATGGAATTGTAGCGTTCATCAGAGGGAAGGAATTGAAGAATGTATCCCACACCTCTTCGAAGTTACTCCCATGTTTGGAAGCGTGCAAGAAAAAGTGTGCGATGATCTGCACTGGAATTGCATACACTATGTAAGCATAAAAAATATTCTCGGTAGGTTTCAGTCCTCCGTAAGCTGGGGAATAACTGTGGATTGATTGGCTGGCATCAGCGTGGGTTCCATAATTTGCACACAATGTTGTGACTATTATCACAGTCAGCTGCAAAATGCTGATGGCAATGCAGAAATGCCTGCTGTCTGATTGCTTCTGTTGGCTGTCAGAATTCATCATCTTTACCTGAAAAAAAGGAGAATTATTTGTATTGCAATGCCATTAGGAGTTTTTGTGCTTTCCTCAATTTTTCCCTTTGTCACTCCTTTTCAAGTGTTTGACAGGTGTCGCCTCAATCGCAAATGAGGCGACATGAGTTTAAATAGATGCAGTACAGTATATTATTTAGCAAGACTCAATACTTGATCTAATTAAACAATCATGTCCAAACTCGGAAAAGGCTTGCCTTAATCTTGCCTGTGTTGAATGGGGAAGAAAGTGGGATTACTGGGCATATTGTGGTAGAGAATGGTAGCACATCAAGCTAAATTCAACTGATCTCACAAAAATCTTTTGCTTGAATTGTAATCAGACACTCGAAAGCATTATGAAATGTTGGCGACGTCAATGTAATAGGATGGGATCTCCGGATGAAGGAAATGCGGGTTTTTGACCAGCGAAGAAGTCATTTATTCAACGTGTGTAGTTTGAGGCAAGCACCTAATGTAGCCAGAAATATGCAATACATATTGTTATATAACTTCAGTTACTGTATTTGCTTGAGTACCCCGTGCCCTCAACTAAGAGGCAGACATTTTTTTATCTCGACCTAAAATTTTGATGAAAACCTATCCCCAAGTAATGCAATTACTGTACCCCATTTTTCATTGACAGAAAATTTGCACAATTTTGTGTGTGTGATGCATTGGAATTTGAAATTTTGACATGAATTGGACCTAAATGAAATTTATTTTCTTCTTTTTTTTACCATAAAATATCATTCATCAAAATTTTAAATTGGAATCATGCCAGGCATGCACCTGAAATTTTGAAAACTTGAATGAAGATTTTGAAATTTTAAATATGCTTATGGTCGGAACCCTTTTTCTTCCCTCCTAATTTTGAGGGGAGAAAAGTGCGCGTGGTACTTGGGTAAATATGGTAGACTTTCCAAGCTGTGTGAAAGTTCAGGCGACACCTATGTAATAAAATAGGATAATCAATAGCGCTGTATATTAAGCTTAGGAAGTAAAACACTTT